AATTTTTTCTTTATTTTATTAATAAAGTATATTTTAAAAATAATTTTTTCTTAAATTAGCAGAATCAGTCAATGCAGTCACTTCAGCCACAACTTCATAAATTTCAGCAAAATCAGCCAAAACAACCGATTTTCGTGCTACCAAACGGGCTCTAAAAGAATTAAAGGATAAAAAATTCACTAAGTCTTGTTATGTTTTACTTCTATTTAAGTAATTTTCTATTTAGGTCCAAAAAACATTACACATCAGACCTATATAGAGTAGAGCCTGTTTGATCGACATGTTTTTTGGTTTATAAGTCTTTTTTTATCAAACATATAAATTTTATTTTACGTATTAAATTCAGTAATAACAAAAAAAAGAAGTAAGGTTGAAGACTTGAAGTTACTTTTTTGTGAATTGGATGGAGTTACTATAGAGGGTTATTTTAATCGTTTTTCATGTTATTTTTTCTTTATTTTGTTAATAATATATTTTAAATATAACTTTTTTCATTAATCAGAAGGATTTGTAGAGTCTGTCAATACAGCCAATTTGAACATTATAAACGGGCTCATAGTGTCCTCCTCATAAAGCCTTATGCATGCCATTCACACGCCTGTTTTGTCTATGTACACATATTTTTCATTTATAAGGTGAATTGTTTGTGACATTTATAAGAAAAATTATCTTACAAAAATATTTTATGTTAAAGACAATTCACCTTAAAAACGAAATAAGAGTTGTTTGTACACACAAAACCAGGCGTGTAAGCTTTGATAACCTTTGTTTCTTATGATTATTAATTTCTAAGTCAAAAATTTGCTCGTGAAATCCAAACTATAAATGATCCATTTGTTTACCAACAATACAGATTAGCCTACCATAGTGTGGAGTTAGCGATCTGGCACGGCCTTCCGGGGCTAGCTAGTTCTATGTCTCGCTCTAGGGCTGCTCTGAGTTGTTGCTCTGCTTTGTCTGCTGTTATTTTTAATATTATGAACAAATGAGTGAAAATATAATTACTCCCTATATTTTGTTCAAGCCAGCAATAAAAAAGATGGTTTAGGACATTGTAGACTTTGTAAAAAAGATGGTTTACTAAGAATCTTGAACATGCAAGATGGAATATATGGAGGATTCATCTCATTTCATTTATTTGTCCTACATATCTTTTTTATCTTTATCTTTATATTACTTCCATCTTATCGTTTTTTTTATCTTTTGATCTTTATACGTAGTATTACTCCTATCTTTTTTTATCTGTTTATCTTTCTCTTTATCATATTTTATCTTTTTCATTTTTAATCATTTTTATCTTTTTTTCTAACACTGATTTCATGTCAATTTATATTAGGACTTCTTCTTTCTTTTTCTGCAGCGCATCACTTCACCGGCTCCTTCCTCCTCAACAAATTCATTCACTCTCTTCTTCGATTCTCTTCGCAGCGACGCATCAGAACTAGGGGTGGGCAAAATGGTTTGGTTTGACCGAACCGAACCGAACTGAAAATTGGTGGTTTGGTTTGGTTTGATTTTGCTTAAGTAAACCGTTTGGTAGCATTTTGCTCAAATCAAATGGTTTGGTTTGGTTTAAAACCGAAAAACCGTGAACCGAACCGAACACCGAACTTGTAAATTATATAAATACTTTTTATTTTTTTCACTCTTCATCTTTAGGATATAAATAAATAATTTAGACATGAAAAATACAAATTTAGCATATATCATTCTAACAATTACACATTTTATACATTCATAATGACAAAGTTCGCTAATGACATATTTGTACTCTGTATTTGTTATGTTTGTACTCTACCTATATGAAAAGATATTTGTGAATATTACAACATTTATATACTTTGGTAAACCGAACACCAAACCGAACCGAACCGGAACCGAACCGAAACCAAACCGAAACACAAATGGTTTTAGTTTGGTACAAATTCTCCCAAACCGAATAAACCAAAACCGAACCGAAACCGAAGAAAACCGAACCGTAAACCGAATTGTCCACCCCTAATCAGAACGATTTCTTTGACAATCCCAAATCGAATTTTACTACTGGAATTGGCTTCAACAATTTTCTCTTCATATGGGCATATCAGATTTTGGGGATTGGGACTCTTTTCGTAATTTGATATTATTTGGTCAACCTTAATGTTTTGGAAATTCTAAAGAAGGAGAACTGGAGAAGATTGTTGCAGACCTGGTAATGGAGTATTGTTTTTTTTGCTTCTGGATTTTTTTTGGGAATTATATATACATAAACAACTTACCTGATGCAAGCCATGGAAGGCTACCAAGAAATTGTTGAATCTAAAAATTTGTTTATCTTGAAGAAGTCAGTCAAGAAGAACACAAGTTACACAACTCCACATTTATCTCTTTTACGGCCAAGAAGAACAGTCACCAGCAAATGAATAATACGATCTAGGTTGGTGGGTGAAGTCCGGAAAGAGCTTTCAAGAAAAAAGGAATTGCATTTAATTTAAGAAAGGGGCATTTATGTACTTAAATTCTTACATCAAAATCACTTTTTTATCAAATACTTCAACTTTTACTACAACTATAAAGCACTTCCTCCAAAATCACTTTAAAAATCATTTTTATAAAGCGGAAGAAAATGCAAACACTCCCTAAATCTCTTTCAATAAAGAAATATTGTGCTTTTAGAAACAGAAATAAAAGGGTGCGTTTGTACTTGACATAACGTCTGCACAAGAACACAATCCTTTAAAATTTTGATTTAACAGACTTGGAAGTACGGAGCCTCCATTTGCTAATTCATTGGAATATTTTGAAATAAATATAACCAAGTACCAAAAGATTAGAAGTTAGAACTGCAACTCAATTCCATCCATGTTCCCGCCTATTGCCGAACCTTACAGATTGTTATCAACTTATCACTTACCAAATCCATTATGGACCTTACCGATTGTTATCAACTTATCACTTACCAACTTATCAAATTTACGCATTGGAAGAAAAGTAAAAAAAAAAAAAAATGTCACTCTACTGCAATCACTACACCATCCGCAAAGGCATAAACTATCTTACTGAAAGCATGGGTTGAAACCTGATAAAGTAAAAAATTACTTCGTATATGCCAAAATCATGTCTTTAATTCAATACGGAGTAAAATTGTTTAAAGGCCCAAATCTCTGAAAAATACATAAACTTCTAAGTTGAGAGAAAAGAATTAAAACAGAGACATATATTGTAAGTAATGTAAAGATATACCAATTGTTTAATACGAAGTATAGTTTATGTAATTTCCTCTAAGACCTAAGTGGTCAAGTGGAGTAATATAGCAAATCCTCTAAGACTTCGACCTAAAAAGTATTTGACAAAGATAATTTAATAATTAACACACTTAGCCAAGGTTCGAAATTGCGTATTACATGTTTGAGACGGTTTCTTAGCATTGCCTATTGCGTAAGCCTCATTGCGCAATGAGGCGTAAGCCTCAATTTGTTAACAAATTTATTTATATAAAACAAAAAATAATGTAATTAATACTAAACTAAAAGATATTATTCCAATAAAGTAATTAATACTAGAGTAAAAGAATATTAATGTAACTAATGTCATAATAATGAAAACATCCAAAATTGAGGTCATAACCCATCCAAGAAATATGTTCTAACATTATTCAAAATAAATATTTTCTAATTTATTAATAATATTTTGCATCCAGTCATCGAGTAGGTATTAAGGCGGTAACAAATTCCACTAAGGTGGCAAAAAAAATTATATGTTCCACTGATGTATTAAAATAAAAAAGAAGAATCAATATAATTACTCCTAATAAAAAATCCACTACGTGATACATGCAGTCTATCAATAAAAATTATACGAGTACAAAGCAAAACTTTTGCTTTGTTTGAGGCGGTTTCTTAGCATTGCCTATTGCGTAAGCCTCATTGCGCAATGAGGCGTAAGCCTCAATTTTTTAACAAATTTATTAATATAAAAGAACAAATAATGTAATTAATACTTGAGTAAAAGAATAATTAAAAGTTAACTAATGTAAAACATCCAAAACTGAGGTCATAAACCCATCCAAAAATATGTTTTAACATCATTTAAAATAAATATTTTCTAATTTATTAAAGTTCTAGTCCTTCCTATTAGATTGAAGAGTCTACTGACTAACAAAAAAACTAATAAAATAATACATAGCTTAAGATTCATTATCCACTAATCTACTGTCTAACAAAAAACCTTGTAAAATCATACGTGGTATTATATATTATTGATCCACTAACTTATAATTAATACTCATCCACTACATAGTATTATGCAATAATTTTTGTGCCCATGCTCCACTATTGAAATATTATATTGATCCAGTAGCTCACAAATAATATTATACTCATAAATAATACTCATCTTACACGTTATTCTGCAAAGTCTATTCCAATCAATTTTCAAGACAATATTATCAATACGTAATACGGAGTATAAAATATAAAATACTGGACAAGCGTATCTCTGTTAGAGAATTAACCTGAAGAAGAGAAGAAAGCCACAGACTCAAAGCCAGAGAAGATGATCACCGGCGCTGTTGCAGAATACGGAGATACGCTACTACCTACGGAGTATTTGCTAAGCAAACTTATATACTACTGTGGTAGGGTATGTATTTTAAAATTAAATTAATTTAGGAATTTGGGCTCCAGCTGTTATGTTGGGCCTATCTTTTGGCGTGCGCAATAAGCGTACGATTTTGGGATGCTAGGCGTATAATTTTTTATTGCTTAATCTAGTCTAAGCCTTGCACTGGGGTAAAATCTGAAAAAGTAACACAGCTAGCCTTATTGCGCTAAGGCGGAACGCAATTTTAAACGTTTGGTACAAAGAAGAATCCACTGCGTATTAAAATAAGAAAGAAGAATCCACTAACTACAAAGAAACTATTACTTCTGCAATCTGCACTTTATCCTTGAGTACCTTTTTCCTAACCATCCAGAACATCTTACATCTATCAATAAATATGTAAAATCCTAAACCCATACCTGCGGATAAGGATGAGAGCAGAGAAAAAGTTGCAGAATTCTGTGCGCAGGGAAGAAAGCAGCGGAAGTAGGAATTACGAACGAGGATGGTTGCAGAGGCTCCTAGGCAAACTTATACTACGGCGTCTAACCCTGTTAAGTTTTTTTTTTTTAATCTGGGCTGCAGGCCTGCAGCAGACGGCCTTTTTTAATCCTATATTGCTTAATCCCGTTTAACCCTTATGTCCTAGATTGTTTAAAAATCACAAGGCTAGCCTTATGTTCAAACAATGCACTGAACGAGGAAGAAAGCTTCCGGTCGACAACCAGCGGCGGGTAATTCTAAATAATGGTTAGCGTATTAGATTATTAGGTCAACTGTTAAAAGCCTATTATTAAATGTGGGCTAGTCCACTATAATAAAAAATTACGTAACTACTCGTAATTATACACATATTTCGGTTCTAACCAGTTCTAATAATGTAATTTCTTTAAAAACCGGAACCGAAAAAGTGAAAAGTCCAAATGGGTAAGAACCGAACGCAAATTTCGGTTCGGTTCCGGCGGGTTTCCCGGTTTTCCGGTTCTAAGTCTCAGGCCTAAGCACAGTATCAGCTACAAAACACTATTTGCCCCCTGCTCATCTATCCAGCTACAAGTTTTTATCAAGGTTCGAAACAGTGGCGTATCCACTCTGAGGGCGGTGGAGACAGCTACCCATATTAACCCCAACGGCCAACCCATCCCCTTTATATATAACCTGATGATATTATTTTATAGAAATTTCTCAATATAGGAGTTAAACATAGAAAAAAATCTCAAATAGGATTAAAAGCGGTTCTTCTCAAAATATAGGATTTACGTAATCCTATTAAGAGACTGTTTGGTAACACTGTTTTTCGGCTTATCAGCCAGCTTTTTCACCAAACACGTAAGTTTTGCTTTCGCGCGCTGAATTGTGTAATAAGCAGAAAAAGTAAGGTTGAAGTTACTTTTCTAGCTGTATTGACTGAAGTTACTGTAGATGACCATTTTAGCTATTTTTACATATAATTTTTTCTTTATTTTATTAATAAAGTATATTTTAAAAATAATTTTTTCTTAAATTAGCAGAATCAGTCAATGCAGTCACTTCAGCCACAACTTCATAAATTTCAGCAAAATCAGCCAAAACAACCGATTTTCGTGCTACCAAACGGGCTCTAAAAGAATTAAAGGATAAAAAATTCACTAAGTCTTGTTATGTTTTACTTCTATTTAAGTAATTTTCTATTTAGGTCCAAAAAACATTACACATCAGACCTATATAGAGTAGAGCCTGTTTGATCGACATGTTTTTTGGTTTATAAGTCTTTTTTTATCAAACATATAAATTTTATTTTACGTATTAAATTCAGTAATAACAAAAAAAAGAAGTAAGGTTGAAGACTTGAAGTTACTTTTTTGTGAATTGGATGGAGTTACTATAGAGGGTTATTTTAATCGTTTTTCATGTTATTTTTTCTTTATTTTGTTAATAATATATTTTAAATATAACTTTTTTCATTAATCAGAAGGATTTGTAGAGTCTGTCAATACAGCCAATTTGAACATTATAAACGGGCTCATAGTGTCCTCCTCATAAAGCCTTATGCATGCCATTCACACGCCTGTTTTGTCTATGTACACATATTTTTCATTTATAAGGTGAATTGTTTGTGACATTTATAAGAAAAATTATCTTACAAAAATATTTTATGTTAAAGACAATTCACCTTAAAAACGAAATAAGAGTTGTTTGTACACACAAAACCAGGCGTGTAAGCTTTGATAACCTTTGTTTCTTATGATTATTAATTTCTAAGTCAAAAATTTGCTCGTGAAATCCAAACTATAAATGATCCATTTGTTTACCAACAATACAGATTAGCCTACCATAGTGTGGAGTTAGCGATCTGGCACGGCCTTCCGGGGCTAGCTAGTTCTATGTCTCGCTCTAGGGCTGCTCTGAGTTGTTGCTCTGCTTTGTCTGCTGTTATTTTTAATATTATGAACAATATTATGAACAAATGAGTGAAAATATAATTACTCCCTATATTTTGTTCAAGCCAGCAATAAAAAAGATGGTTTAGGACATTGTAGACTTTGTAAAATATGACGTAATGGATATTACTAAGAATCTTGAACATGCAAGATGGAATATATGGAGGATTCATCTCATTTCATTTATTTGTCCTACATATCTTTTTTATCTTTATCTTTATATTACTTCCATCTTATCGTTTTTTTTATCTTTTGATCTTTATACGTAGTATTACTCCTATCTTTTTTTATCTGTTTATCTTTCTCTTTATCATATTTTATCTTTTTCATTTTTAATCATTTTTATCTTTTTTTCTAACACTGATTTCATGTCAATTTATATTAGGACTTCTTCTTTCTTTTTCTGCAGCGCATCACTTCACCGGCTCCTTCCTCCTCAACAAATTCATTCACTCTCTTCTTCGATTCTCTTCGCAGCGACGCATCAGAACTAGGGGTGGGCAAAATGGTTTGGTTTGACCGAACCGAACCGAACTGAAAATTGGTGGTTTGGTTTGGTTTGATTTTGCTTAAGTAAACCGTTTGGTAGCATTTTGCTCAAATCAAATGGTTTGGTTTGGTTTAAAACCGAAAAACCGTGAACCGAACCGAACACCGAACTTGTAAATTATATAAATACTTTTTATTTTTTTCACTCTTCATCTTTAGGATATAAATAAATAATTTAGACATGAAAAATACAAATTTAGCATATATCATTCTAACAATTACACATTTTATACATTCATAATGACAAAGTTCGCTAATGACATATTTGTACTCTGTATTTGTTATGTTTGTACTCTACCTATATGAAAAGATATTTGTGAATATTACAACATTTATATACTTTGGTAAACCGAACACCAAACCGAACCGAACCGGAACCGAACCGAAACCAAACCGAAACACAAATGGTTTTAGTTTGGTACAAATTCTCCCAAACCGAATAAACCAAAACCGAACCGAAACCGAAGAAAACCGAACCGTAAACCGAATTGTCCACCCCTAATCAGAACGATTTCTTTGACAATCCCAAATCGAATTTTACTACTGGAATTGGCTTCAACAATTTTCTCTTCATATGGGCATATCAGATTTTGGGGATTGGGACTCTTTTCGTAATTTGATATTATTTGGTCAACCTTAATGTTTTGGAAATTCTAAAGAAGGAGAACTGGAGAAGATTGTTGCAGACCTGGTAATGGAGTATTGTTTTTTTTGCTTCTGGATTTTTTTTGGGAATTATATATACATAAACAACTTACCTGATGCAAGCCATGGAAGGCTACCAAGAAATTGTTGAATCTAAAAATTTGTTTATCTTGAAGAAGTCAGTCAAGAAGAACACAAGTTACACAACTCCACATTTATCTCTTTTACGGCCAAGAAGAACAGTCACCAGCAAATGAATAATACGATCTAGGTTGGTGGGTGAAGTCCGGAAAGAGCTTTCAAGAAAAAAGGAATTGCATTTAATTTAAGAAAGGGGCATTTATGTACTTAAATTCTTACATCAAAATCACTTTTTTATCAAATACTTCAACTTTTACTACAACTATAAAGCACTTCCTCCAAAATCACTTTAAAAATCATTTTTATAAAGCGGAAGAAAATGCAAACACTCCCTAAATCTCTTTCAATAAAGAAATATTGTGCTTTTAGAAACAGAAATAAAAGGGTGCGTTTGTACTTGACATAACGTCTGCACAAGAACACAATCCTTTAAAATTTTGATTTAACAGACTTGGAAGTACGGAGCCTCCATTTGCTAATTCATTGGAATATTTTGAAATAAATATAACCAAGTACCAAAAGATTAGAAGTTAGAACTGCAACTCAATTCCATCCATGTTCCCGCCTATTGCCGAACCTTACAGATTGTTATCAACTTATCACTTACCAAATCCATTATGGACCTTACCGATTGTTATCAACTTATCACTTACCAACTTATCAAATTTACGCATTGGAAGAAAAGTAAAAAAAAAAAAAATGTCACTCTACTGCAATCACTACACCATCCGCAAAGGCATAAACTATCTTACTGAAAGCATGGGTTGAAACCTGATAAAGTAAAAAATTACTTCGTATATGCCAAAATCATGTCTTTAATTCAATACGGAGTAAAATTGTTTAAAGGCCCAAATCTCTGAAAAATACATAAACTTCTAAGTTGAGAGAAAAGAATTAAAACAGAGACATATATTGTAAGTAATGTAAAGATATACCAATTGTTTAATACGAAGTATAGTTTATGTAATTTCCTCTAAGACCTAAGTGGTCAAGTGGAGTAATATAGCAAATCCTCTAAGACTTCGACCTAAAAAGTATTTGACAAAGATAATTTAATAATTAACACACTTAGCCAAGGTTCGAAATTGCGTATTACATGTTTGAGACGGTTTCTTAGCATTGCCTATTGCGTAAGCCTCATTGCGCAATGAGGCGTAAGCCTCAATTTGTTAACAAATTTATTTATATAAAACAAAAAATAATGTAATTAATACTAAACTAAAAGATATTATTCCAATAAAGTAATTAATACTAGAGTAAAAGAATATTAATGTAACTAATGTCATAATAATGAAAACATCCAAAATTGAGGTCATAACCCATCCAAGAAATATGTTCTAACATTATTCAAAATAAATATTTTCTAATTTATTAATAATATTTTGCATCCAGTCATCGAGTAGGTATTAAGGCGGTAACAAATTCCACTAAGGTGGCAAAAAAAATTATATGTTCCACTGATGTATTAAAATAAAAAAGAAGAATCAATATAATTACTCCTAATAAAAAATCCACTACGTGATACATGCAGTCTATCAATAAAAATTATACGAGTACAAAGCAAAACTTTTGCTTTGTTTGAGGCGGTTTCTTAGCATTGCCTATTGCGTAAGCCTCATTGCGCAATGAGGCGTAAGCCTCAATTTTTTAACAAATTTATTAATATAAAAGAACAAATAATGTAATTAATACTTGAGTAAAAGAATAATTAAAAGTTAACTAATGTAAAACATCCAAAACTGAGGTCATAAACCCATCCA